AATAGGGAGAAGATCAAGGACATATTGCGAGTGTTTTTGATGGACCATCAATATTGATTCCCTTGATCATATAACATTTATTATGCATTTAAATGTCTTAATGATGTCATAATTTAGCAATCTTGGGCTTGCTGGATTCGTCTCGATCAGTTGCTCGATTCGACTATAAACATGTCACATTTGGAAATCATTTAGTTGTCAAATTTATGCTTTAAAGTTCCAAACATGCTTTGGGCCCTCGATTTGGACCCATTTGAGGTCCGATTGGATCAAATTTGGTTTATTTGGATTCTTCTTTTCGAGATGTTCAATTTGACTATAAGTTTGTTGAAATCGGAGTTTAGATGGATATGAAATTAATTTTGAAAGTTTTCGATTCGACTTTGCCTCGAGACTTGTGCCCGATCAAGATAATTTTTTTGAAGATATATCAAGAATTGTTGCACACTAGACAATTTTGTGATGTTAGAGTGAAATTCTTATCATAATATTGCACTAAGATTTGCACATGCACAAATAAGAAAATTTATTATAGAGATTGAATTTATTTATGAAAAATTCAAAACTTAAAAATCATGGGGCCTCACCCAAATGAAATAATTCACCCATATGTGAAGCTTATAGAGGCTACTCTTTCATTAATTGAAGAAGATGAGATTAAAAATTAAAAATGGTTAGTTTTGTCGCTTGTAAATATAGTGGAGAATATTGGAGAAGTAGTGAAGGGTGACAACGATGATCAAGAGATGTATGTTCATTGATATATGTTAGTGATGTTTGCGGTGGTAGTTGTCAGAGGATGATAGTCTGTTATCTTATTTCAAATCACTTTCATGTAATGAATGATGGTCTATTTATAAATTTTTTTAAGCATTAGTTTGATTAGTAAACAAAAATTTCATATACTCTATTAGATAGCCTATGTTAATTATCTTTATTATAGATCATTTCTTTGATACTTATGCAACTTAATGACATAAAAATTATGTGATCTTACATCTTAGGTTTTGTTGGATGCCTCTCGTAGAGATGCTCATTTTAATTGTAAATAGATTTAGAGATTGCTTGACTTTTAAAATAGCGTCATGAACTATCCAACAACACTTAAGAGTGCTTGATTTAGACTTATTTAGACATAGATCAATGTGCTTTTGGAGTTATTTAATTTTTATTGTTGAAATGTTCATTATCAAGCATAAGTCTATAAAAATCAAAGTTTGAATAATCTTAAATTTAATTTCCAATGTTTTTTTAATCAAGTTTTGTGTTGTGATTCATGTTTTTAATCAAGCGGATTTTCTATTGATTTGTCACTTCTCTATATTTGGATTACTAAATTTATGTTGTCTGAAAATAAATTAAGTCTTGAAAAATTGAAGGCTCAAATTATAATTTTGGAAAAGTTTTATGAGATCATTCCTTAGACATCAACGTGGACCTCATCTTAAGGTTGTGAACTTAATATAGTTTCCATAATTATAATTTTGCCATTCCTTAAAATTAGCGCATTATTTAGAGCATACTTGTTAAAACATATCAAACATAAATTGATTGTAAAGGCTCCAATGAGCATTTAAAGTGTGGGAATTAAATATGTAATATTTCAACAATAATCTTCTTTAACCATTGATACGACTTCAAAAAATTCATATGATATGCAAAAAATTTAAGGCAATATTGAAATTGACTGTAGTTAAATTTATGATCATCCGAACAACAATTTCAGCACACTTATAGTTGAACTAAATGTCTCAAAGAAACAAACCGATTATCTCTACAAATGATCCGATTCAACTTCAAATGTGCTCAAATCAAGCACTTGAATTGTGTTTGAAAATTTTTAAACATTAATTGTTGGATCAAATGATCTCCAATTATAGCATATTATAGTCAAAATTAAAAAAACAGCTTTAAACGCTCGATGCCCTAGCCACCTCTTTTTCGTCTCCGGTTCTTCTCCGGCGCCGAGCTTCCGATGGCTAATAAACGGTTAGATCCCGGTTTTTTGGTGGGTAAGCATTCGAAATCTTTCAAAGATGCTTTGTCTAGTGTTGAAGCTTCAAATAGTTTTCCGGATTTTCGTTTTTCTACGATCCGAGGGTTGCCGGCTTTGTGGTTTTCTGATGAAGAATTTATGCATCTAGCCAAACCTTTTGAATTTGCTTTGGTGGGGAAATTTCCTATTAAGCGTCCGGATTTAGACTCTATCCGAAAATTTTTCTTTAACCTAAAATTGTCCGGTGATTTCTCTGTCACTGTGCTGGATCAATCAAACGTTCTGATTAAGCTCTCGAATGATCTTGATTATGGAAGGATTTTCGCTCATCGCTCTTATTTTGTGTTTGGTTGTTTCATGAAAATCATCAAATGGTTTTTAAAAATAAATTTTAAAATTGTTATATTTATTTTAAAATATGTGGAATATATATAATAAAAAATATATTGTATTCTATTAAAATCAAAACTGCCTAACTAAAATTTAGATTTCGTTTTGGACAATTTTCTTATTACTTTATAAAGCGACTTTTTAGTATAAAAATATCTTGAACTAGAAATTTTTATATTAAAAAACAGCTTTAGAAAACAATTAAAAAATTATCCAAAACAAAACTTTAATCAAACTTCAATTATTTTTGTTGGGACATAGCAAAGGCGTAAGCCTAGTCATGTCTAATTGAGCTAAGATCTAATCAAAGAGTTAAAGAGTTCTAGATCGGCTTATTTACACTCTTAGATTCAACTTGAGATAAGGACAAGCAGGTAGTACCTCAAATCTCTCATATTTATCTCTTTGCTTCTACTGAACGCCTTCTATTAAATAAAATACAAACGTATCGCAGTTGTAAGATTTCCTTAACATGTAGTGAGGACAATGTGAGTGCGATAGACTTGTTGTCAATGAATTTACATTGAGATTGAATGAAATTCGCCTGCTTTTTGGTCTAAAATATATGTATTCAATGGAGGAATTAGGAGATGACTGAGAGGGGTCGATTGTCTTTAAATTTAGAATAAATTTTTTGATATTGTTATTAGATTAAAATCTTTTTTCTTTTTTCAACTTAAATTTAATGCATAATTATAATGTAATATCAATTATATTTTACGTTTAGTTTCATTTATATTGGAATTTTTAGTATTAGTCTACTTGTTATTGTTTTAATTATATGTAAATATCATACTTGTTGCCTTATGAAACATTCGGTAAAAAATTATGGAGTTTAGCGTTATAACTTTGCACGAAGATTCAGTTTAATGACATATAAAAAAGAGGGTTGTAGTGTTCATAATAGTCATCAAAGTTTTACTTTGAAACCCCTTAAAAGGTGGAAAAACCACATGACATTGCTCAATTAAAAAGTGTCAAATAGTGTTTGTAGTTGATTACTGATATATCATCAAAAAATTATCATGATTAGGCACAAATCTCAAGGTAAAATCCAATTGGAACTTCAAATATTAAATTGGAGACCATCTAACTTCGATTTTAGAAAACTTACAGTCAAACTGAACGTCTCGAAAATATGAATCTAACGAAACCAAATTTGACCCAATCCGAGCTCAAATAGGTCCAAATCAAAGACCCGAAGCACATTTGAAAGGTTTAATCCATAATTTGGATTACCAAACATTTTCCAAATGTGGCGTGCTTATAGTAGAATCGAGCGGCTCGATGAGACGAATCCAACGAGTTCAAGATCGCCAAATTTTGATATCATTAAGACATTCAAGTGCTCAATAAGCAGTCTCGATCAAGGGATTCAACATCAACCATCCATTCAAACCACTCTGAATTTACCATTGATCTTCCTCTTATTTATTGGTTATCCCACTCTAAAAAAACTATAAAATAGACCCCTCACTTCATTGAAAGGGAGAGAAAGGAGGGGCCTAGGAAAGAAGAGAAGGAAGATAAAGAAGAGTTCTCTCGCCACCAGACTCCTCCTCAACCACCTCCCGTCCACCGACCGACTCCAAAATTCTGTCTGTCGCCAGATTTCTACCCCCACGCCGGACTTCCGCCCGTCACTGGACTTCTACCCAACACCGGACTTCCGACCGGTGTTGGACTTCTGCCCGTCGCAAGATTTCTACTCTACATCGGACTTCCGCATGTTGTCGGACTTTTGTCCGTCACTGAACTTTCGTTGAACTTCTACCTAACGCCGGACTTTCTCCCGTCGCCAGATTTTTACCCAACGCCAGAATTCCGCCTGTTACCGGACTTTTTCCCTACCGCCAACTGATGCCTGTTTTTCTGCGAGGTCATTAACTAACGTCAGACTTTTGCATGGTCACCAATTGATGTCAGACCTCTATTGCCCTCCGACTACGGTCCTTCCAACCTCTATCACCCTCTGACAAAAATCTTTTTGACCACTGTCATCCACCGACTACGGTTCATTCAACATCCATGCCAGACAACAATCTTTCTGACCACTGTCACCTGACTACCGTCGGTCGCCGACTATGACCCTGCATACCAAATGAAAATGTCAATAGTATTTCTTCCTATTCCCAACATGTAATGCAATCCATATGATGTATATTTGTTACATTAAGCCAAGGCATTCCTCGCAAGGAAGAGCCTCATTTGTAATCAACTGCAAATATTAGTGGATTCATTCAAACAAGGCAATGCCCCATGGTTTTTTTTCCTATTCAGGGGTTTCCATATAAAAATATTGGTGTCTCTTTAAATAATGCACCCTATCTTTTTATCTATATGCGTGTTGGATCTTCGTACAAAGCTAAGACGTTAAACTTTATATTTCTCTATTGTCGCGAATATTCGAGGACGCAACAGTTTGGTGAGGGAAGTCGGAGGGATCGTAGTCAGCGGGCATAGACTACATTCCGGCGGTGATTAATAGAAGAGTTGTGATCTGATGGTGGTCGAAAGTCAAGCGGTGGTGACAATGGTTGAATGGAAGTCCGATGGAGATCAGCTATTAGGCAGTGGTTTAGTGGCAGGTGATGGTCTGATGATGGTCGGATGGAAGTCCGATGGAGATTGGCGGCCATGCAATAGTCCAAAGACGGTTTGCAGCTAGGCGGTGGTACGACAATTGTCGGCGGTTGGACGACGGTAGGTTGTCGGGCGGTGGCTCGACTGCAATCAGCTGACGATGGTGGTGCTGGGGTGGACCTCTAGATCCTTTAAGCTTTGATTATCTCTCGAATCTCTAGCCAAAAGGTCCTAGCTCCCCTAATGAATAGAGCATGGGCATATATAATCAAGACAATTTTTGGTGGTGTATCAATACTCATATTAATTAATTTAAGGAAATACTTTTTTTGTAAAAAATATAATTTTGAGTGCTATACATGTAAATCCTTCAAAGACTTAAAAGAAGTTTTTTTTTTTTTTTTGCTTTCAAGGTAATTCTAGTTTATACATATTTTAAATTAAACTTTACTTAATTATATTAATTTAGAAATTGATTTATAATTTTGGCTGAAAAAATTTCATTAACAAATTAAAAAATAATTCAAAATCATAATTAAGATTTTATTTGAGACAATTTTTTATTGCTTTCTAAATTAAATTTTTTATAAATAAAAAAAAATTAAAAAATAGTAAAAAAAAGCCCCAAAATAAAACCTAAATCTCATAAAAATTCACCCAAAATTAAAAGACTTCATGCTAAATAAATATGTAAATTATAAGAAAGCATTATTTTGCTGAAACTATGCTAGGCTGGTAGGCTGTTATATCATTATCAGTACCGCGTCTATCTCATTTACTGTAAAAATCATGATCATTAGTCCAAGTGCGACAATCCAAGCCAAATATAGAGTATTTAAACACCAAACATGAAAGTGAGGAATTCTCCCCATCATTTTATGATAATCAACTCAACTTTGCATTACATACATAACTCATACAAAATCATTCATCAAAGAACCATTAGATTTCAGAAAAGACGAAAGAAGCAGAACTGAGAGCGGTTTTTTTAAAGCTATAGATCTCTCTCAAGCGCAGGTGATGCAGTTCATCCCCAGACATTCTGTGAACAAATTTCTCAGCAATCTTTTCTGCAACCAACGAGAACTCAAAAGTCAGAAACAGAGCAGACAGAGAATTATGGGAAAAAGAGAGTGAGAGAGAGAGAGAGAGAGAGAATATACTTTCTTTGGCTGTTGGCAAAGAAGCTCAGGTGGAATCTTATACAAATCCTCATCCACTGCTTTAGGAGCGACGATAGGTTTCCTCGGCTGCCCCGCAACATGGCCGGAAATCCTCCCCTGTTTCATCTGCTTCTGCTCCTTCGAGAACGCCTTCTCCTGTCCTCCACTATCGTTACATTTCCTCACCTGATAACAACCACATAAGCAACACACAATAGAAAAAACATAAGACCTCAAGAAATAGATAAAACTCGAAACCTTCCGGCGAGATAGGCCGTCCTGGTAAGCCAGCTTCACCGGCATCGCAACCGGCACAAAGAGATCTTCCTCACAGCCCGCCCCTGAGAAACCGGCTCGAACCAGCCCAGCCTGCCTCGCGGACTCGAAGTATTGCGTGATGGGCATCTCGCCGCTATAATCCCAGTTCCCAAACGTCGGAATTTGCCAGCTCTTCCTGTGCTGCATCCAACAGTGTTAATCAGCAACCATGAGTCTTCCCCTTAACTCGAAACAGAGCACCATAAAAATCCAAACTTTGCTCACCTCCATTCCCTGAACCGTAAACGGAATCGAGCGAGAGAAAAAAAAAAGGTGGGAAAGTAGCGAAGAGAGGGAAAAGGTTTTGTGACGTCTTTAACACGGAGCCAGAACCTGCAGTGCTCTACTTGCTTTAAGAGGCGTGACTTTGGCTTGCTCGCTACGCAGTCCTCTTACTACTCAAAGAGGACGAAAGCCATCTCCTTTTCCCCCTCGCGTGCATCCCGAGAAGCAAGAATAGCGGGGCTCTCAGCTTGAGGCCCTCCTCGGCGCGTGTCGAGTGTTGACGTTTACAACCTCGGTCGCCGAACTTCTTCTCCTCGGTTTTCCATGGCGGATCACGTGAAGAAAATCGCCGATGCGAGGGATAGGCTTAAATGTTTATAAAAAAAACAGGGGAGTGAGCCCTGCTACTTATCAGGAAGGAGTAGAAGAGAAACCCAAAAGCTTTAACTTTTATTCCATCTTTTCCGCGCTTTGCTCGAGTGATGATAAGAGACAGCATGTGGAGAATAGGAATGAGATAAACTTGCTTTTGGATTCTTTCTTTAATTCTTTCTTTCTTTTGTTTTCTTCTCTTTTATTTTTTGATGTTTAAGGAAAATAAAAAACTCTCTTTTCTCATCCTCTGTTTTGATGTGTTAATGGCTTGTTATGGTTCGGAAGATTTCTAAGGTTCCATCTGGAGGTGCTACTGATTGGACCAAAGCCTAAGGGCCAATTCCATGGAATCTCTCTCTCCTATCTCTCTCTCTCTCTCTCTCTCTCTCTCTCTCCTATCTATTCGTTGCAGTCGTTGAATCTTGAACAAACCAGCTCATCATTCTTTTATGTTCTCTCTCCTCTCTCTCTCTCTCTCTCAATTTATTTGTATAAAGCTATCACTGGGAGTCATTTTTTATAAACAAGGGTTTGAATTCAATCACTGCCTTGATTTCAATTTTACTCTAAAAGTATCGGTTTCAATAGTTTGGTCATTTTCCTTATGATTGACTGATTGTCGATATGTAGTTTTAAAAAATTATAAAATAACGAACTTATCTTGATTGTTTAGTTGTAAGTTTTAGCTATCAACTAAGAGATCTTAAGTTACATAGTTTATTTTGGTCTGTTAGTTGAGAGCTTAGGCTACCAACTAAGAGGTCTTTGATTCAAGTCTTATGTAGCAATATGTGTGTGAATCTGACTTAATTGATCTAACAATCCAAGAAAAAAAAAATCTAAAGTTCAAAACTTATTTGTATGATGTGTATATGGATTTACCTTAATTGCCTCAAAAGTCCAAAAAATTTATAAATTGTAGATTATTTAACTGAAATTTAAAGTGTAATGCACATATTACAATTGAATTGAATCCATCAATTTATATTATAATGGGTATAACAATATAGATTGAAAAGAAGTTAATTAGAAATTTAATGCATTTTAATTTTTTTATATTAGCGCAGTTCATGATATCATAAATAAACACTAATCTCCATATTAATTTAAAAATATTCAAATCCATTATTTTTTCAAATTACGTCCAGATGTCTTTATGCAATTTTACTTTTCATATAAAATTTATATTTGCTATTATAATATCCTATTCTTTATAATTATTAAAAAAATTGGTGTAGAGGATCCTAATAAAAATTTTTGTTCGGATCTAAAAATAATTTAATTTGATTGATTTTAGTGTAATTTAATGTTTTATTTTTGACGGTTTTATTTATGCTTTCTAAAATAATTTTTTCGTATAAGCATTTTTTAAACAAAAAAAAAATATACTAAAAAGCTGCTTCAAAAGGCAGCAAGAAAGCCGTCCCAAATGAAAGGTAAATTTTCATTTATGTTGCATCAAGAAAAAGCAAGATCTATTTTTTTTTTCCGATAATGGATGGCTCGAGAAATTATTCTGTGTGACATTTAATTTTGAAAATTTTAAATATAAATAATACATCAAAATTCATCTATAATTAAATATATTTTCCAATAATATTCCAAACATTAAATTAATTTATAAATAGTTAAAATTTATTAGATAGTTTTATCCCATAAAAAGCATATCTTAATCCTTTCTCATTAGACTAAGTACTTCTATTCCATTGAGGCAATCCTAATTAAACCAGACAAATAAGATACTATTTTAGCACGAAATATATATATATTTTTCCAATATAAAGGGTTGGCTTAATTATCCCAACATATTCACCATCTTAATAAATGCACATCCTATAAATGGTTAATTTACGATTTAATGTTCTACAAGACCGTACAAGAAGGAAGTATTCATATTGCAGGTTCGGCCGACACTAAATCCTCCCGACGGATTTCAACGTCATCAACAGATCCATCGGTAGTGACTTCTTTGATTGAGTTGGACAATGTTCGTAGCTTAAGAAAACGATGTTGTTAGTAGATGAATGGCCTTCGCTTGGTGGAAAAATTATTTCATGCGTTTGGAGGTTAATTCGGACACGTAACGTCATCAAATATATAATGTATTAGATGATGTGGGATGCCCGGATTGATCTCCAGGCATGTTTGGACACCACACAGAATAATATCTCCGCTTGGTGATTAGTTCAATATGAGAATTTTATTCCCTTAAAATTTGTTAAGTGATAATAAAAAAAGGATAATAATGTTATTTTATGATAAGTAATAATAAAGAAGATAAGAATATAATTTTATGCAAATTAAGATTTTATTTGGAGCAACTTTCTTATTGTTTTATCTTTCGGATTACAACTAAATAGATTTGACCACTATTTTTTTTTGTTATTTAAAAAAAATTGTACTAAAAAAATATTTAAAAAATCACAAAGAAATTTGATTCAAATGAGACATTAACTTAGCTTAATAAAATTATTGTTAGGTCTTTGGCTCACACAATAATAGTAGAAATAGAAATGTAAGCATAATTAATATTATTATTTTCAATAATAATAAAAAACTTTGTTCTATTTTAAAGAATATATTAAACTTTGAGGAAATAATTGCCTCTAATAAAAAATAAAAATCTATTGCAATAATTTACTGACCGGCCTAATTATGTGGTCCATTGAGCTAGGGAGAATGAAAGTCTTCATAGTCTCCTCCACTTAGTCAGTTAGCTGTCTGAGCCTTAGAGCACTACTGGGCATATTGGTCACTGTCACTTTTAATAATAAATTTTGTAAATTGAAAGCGAAATCAATTATGATTGGAGAAATTTTTTTCCAAGCCTTTAACTTTATTGAGGAGTTCAATTTTGATCGAGAAATGCAATACTTCTACTACCTTATCATCTATTTTATTTGGAGAGCTAGAAATGATAGATTATTTACGAATGTTATTGAATGTCAAACTATCATTGCCAAGAAAGTTAAAAGAACAATTTATTTCAAAACAAGAAAATCGAAGAATGGCCAATGATTAAACAATATCTTGTTTGAGCTCTTCTTGGTCAAGGCTGTCTCTTTTTTCTTATTTGCTCTTCTGCTGGAATCCTATGTGCCTGAGGTGTTTTATTGGAAGATTCGTCATTCTTCAATTGGTTGGGCTCAGTGGAAACCCGGGACTACTACTCGTAATATATGGCATGTGGGTTATTTTTGGAAGGACAGTGATGATTGTTACTCTCCCTTTGTTCCCCTTGGATGGTCATGCTGGCAACTAGGGGTATTTTGATTATCTCTGATGATGTTTTGATTGCTCTCTCTTTCAGCCTGCAAACTAAGTCCTTTTAAGCGTTTTGTCTTTTATTTTGGGTTCTACAATTCGGTTGTAGTATGTTTTTCTCTGTTGGGCTTTTGTTCTTTTGGATTCCTTGTTTTTTTTTTTTTTTATGATTAGCTTTCTTTTGGGGGTTGAACATTTCTTTAACTTGTAATTATTATTTTTCTATAGTATTGATATGGGCTGTGGCCCCAAAACTTCCCTGACAAAAAAAAAAAAAAAAATCAAAAAAAAAAAAAAAAAGTCAAATTAGTTCATTGGACAATAACTTATTTCTATTTGAGAAGTAAGAGAGTACTAAACCCCCAATAAAGATTTGCAGAAGGAGCAAATAAAATATCAATCATTTAGCTCATAACAACAATTGCTTTCCATACTGGAAATAATATGCGCCCCAATATGTATTGTTCCTATTTCGATGAATAAAACTCATTAATGTTCTCTTTGGACTTTTATAAATTAAGATTTTGTTTAGCGAAACTTTTTTTTTAACTATTTTTTTAAATAATATTTTAGTATATAAAAAATAGTTTTTTTTTTTGAACGTGGTATCTACTTGCTTCCACCTTTAAAAGAGACACTTAGCAGCATAACTTATCTCTCGGTGGCCCTACCAGCAACCAACCCTACAGGAGTAGGGCTCAACCACAAATTGAAAAAAAATGATAAATAATAGTAATCTATAAAGTAAGAAAAAACTCTTATAATCTTGTTATTATGTTACTCATCTTAAATTGTGTACACGCTTCTTTAATCCATCAAACATATAAATTATTAATTTCGTCTTAAAATTCATTGCAATTATATAATTTTTTATCTTATTTTACAATTTTTTTTCTCAATAATCTTTATTGTTGAAAATGTGCATTATTTGTTGTAATTGAAACATGGAGTATTGCAAGAAATGTGATGATATGAGTTCGATTTTTTTATCGTTAACAACAATTGAAATAAATAAATAAAAATCTTGAAATGATTTTGAAAATGAGAGATGCTCTAATTAAAAATTTAAATGCAATTTTTTTTTACAGAATCTTAAAGATAAAACTTATTTGGAGGAAGACAGAGATAATCAATTTTGAATGATCGGTGTTCCACAATAATTGCTTACGAGTCTAGTTTAATGAGTTTTGAGCTTCAGCTCGTGGGATTATCTAGTTCAAGTTCGATCGAGAAGAAGCTTAGCTCAATTACTCATCGAGTGGCTCGACCGCGAAAGCATCGGTGCGGAAGGTGGAATCGAAGGTGCATGCGTCAGAGCAGCAGGGCAGCTATGGAAGATGCAACGTCGTAGCGGGATCGGAATGGACCTTACACCTCACGAGCTTGCACCCATTGCGACGGGCTGAGCTTGAGCAAGACATTTGAGCTCAAGCTTTGGTTTGAGCTTGCAATCTGGCCGACGAGTCAAGCTCGAGTAAAGCATGACTTGAACTTGACTCGAGTCAACTTGACACATTTGCAAGGGCGGAACCCCTTTAGGGCTAGGGGGGCAAAAAAAAATTTTATACTCTTATTTAAGTGATTTTTAGTCTTTATTACAAGGGTTTTTAGGCAATTGCACCACCCCCCCCCCTAAATATATTAAAATACTATAGTTTTTAATCAATTGCCCCCAATATAATTAAATATGTACAATGTGTAGATGTGTTATTATTAGGGAATGATGAACCAAATACAAAGAGAAATAGTAAATCAAAATTTGTGTTATTCTAGACAATTATTGTTAGGTCGAACCTCGCCAGGGGCACTGCCCCCTTGGACCCCCGACATATATGCGAACAGTTACTTATAAGTTTGCCCCTCATGAAAATTATGACTGGTTCCGCCCCTGCACATTTGCACCCCTAACTAAAAGGTTGCTTTTAAAAGCTATAAAAAAATTGTTCCAAACGAAGCCTAAAACTAATATACAACAATAATACATAAAATTCATATGAATTAATACTTTAAAGATTTTATGAGGAATTGTTATATTTACAATTCAAACAGTGGCTACTGACTGTGAAAAAGGAAATATTTTCACTAACTCATTAACCAACATAAATTTCTAACATCATTAAATGAATGACACTTTGACATCTATATATATACATTAATCAAATAGTTAATAATCAAAACTATATATTTTGATTTTAGATCAAACAACTTTGCACAATTTGCATAGAAATTAGAAAACAGAGCTAACCTGTTAGTCAACTCATCATTTAGGATTAGTGACAAATAATTTAATTAATAAAAACCTTTAATTTAATTTTATCTGCATCACATACGTTCCCTATCACTCATCATTTGAAGAAGATCATCACCATTAGCTAATTTTGTTGCCATATTTATGTTTATTTGCTTGAATGGCAATCCGTTTGGGTAAAGGAGGTGGAAAATTTAGTGCAAAGTGTCATTCAAGTGATGCAAATTTGATGGCAGAAGAGGCCATTAAGAGCTTCCAGAGCTAATGATGTCCCCGTGGATGGTTGATGTTTCACTAAAGTGCAATCTGATTTGACCATCACTTTTTCCATTTAGGGAGCTAAGTTGAGCGGTTAAATCAAAGAAACTAATGGCGTCAATTGACATTAAAATGTTGAAGTTTTGTGACAATCGAAGTCAAATCTAAGAAGAAAGCAGAAGGAGCGAGCGAGAAATTTTTTCCAATACTTATAATAATGAACACAGAGTTTGCATTACATATATAGCTTTAGGAGATATTAGATTTAATAGAAGAGAGCAGAAACAGAGCTAGGAGTGATACTAGGGTTCTCTTAAGCTCAGGCTATGCAGTTCAGCCCTAGACATCCAGAGAACAAGTGCCTCAGAAACCTTTTCTGCAACCAAAGAGAAGCATGGGAAGTTCAGAGTTCAGAAATGGTGCAGAACAGACTTATAGTTCGAACAGAGAGAGAGAGAGAGAGAGGAGAGAGAGAGAGAGAGAATATACCCTCTTTGGCTTTTGGTAAAGTAGCTCAGGTGGAATCTTATACAAGTCCTCATCAACTGCTTTAGGAGCAGCTACAGATCTTCTCGCTGGCCGGGAAACTTCGCCGGAAACTTTTCCTTGCTTGCTCTGCTTATGCTCCTTCGAATGCCCCTTCGCCTCTCCACCACTATCGTTCCTTTTCCTCACCTGAAAACAACCAAGTCAGTAATAACCAATAGAAAAAAACAAACATGAAACGACAACAAAGACAGGAAATTCGAAACCTTCCGGCGAGAGAGACCCTCCTGGCGAGCCAACTTCACCGGCATCACGACCGGTACATTAAAGAGATCTGCATCACAGCTCTCCCCTGAGAAACCTGATCTAACCAGCCCAGCCTGCCTCGCGGACTCGAAGTATTGCGTTATGGGCATCTCGTCCCCGTAATCCCAGTTCCCAAACGTCGGGATTTGCATCCTCTTCCTATCCTGCATCAAACATTGTAAAGAACCAACCATGAGCCTTCTTCCCCTTTCCCCAAAACAGAGAACCATAAAAATCCAATCTTTGCTCACCTCCATTCCTCCAACCACAAACGGTATCACTACTACTCACGAAAGGTATGATGACATGCTTATATAAAAGAAGCGACTGGAGATGAGAGAGAAAGAGAGAGAGAGGGAGGAAGGGAAAGGTTTGGTCGCGACTTTATGACGGAGCTCGCGACGGAGTCCACCTACTCACAGAGGAACAAAGCCATCCCTTCCTCTGCTCACATCCCGAGGAGAAACAATGGCGGGGTTCGTTTTCTCTCAGGTTGTGAAGAGGCCCTCCTCGGCGCGTGTTAAGTGTTGACGTTTAAAACCTCGGGGGTCGAACCTCGCTTCGTTGGTTTCTCATGGCGGATCACGTGAAGAAGATCGTTTTGTTTTTTTAACAGGGGAGAGAGACAGCTCTGCCTCTTTTATCAGGAAGAGGGAAGAAGAGAAACCATAGCGCCGAGTTCTTTTCCCTTTTTTTTTCTTTCTTTCTGCTCTTTTTTCGAGTGATGATAAGAGACGGAAGGAATGCGGGCATTCGATAAATTTGCTTTTGGATTCTTGCTTTACTCATTTCTTCTTTTGTTTTCTTCTTTTTTTCATGTATGAGGAAAAGAAAATGATTTCGTTTTCTCTTTCCTCTGTTGCAGGGCATTAATGGCTTCTTACGGCTCCAAATATTTCCATTAAGGTTAGATCTGGGCGTTCTTTTCATCAGACCAGAGCGTAGGGACCAATTCTGAGGAATCTCCTCTTTTATCTTTTAGGTTCAAAGAAACTATACTTCCATATCCAAATGGGCCAATTTTAAGGAGCGTTTATAAAATAAATAAAATTGATCGTTGGTAAGCGGTAAATTTTTTTTTAAAAAAGCAGTATCTCATCATTGTATGGAGCTTTAAGCTCAATTTACCAAAAAATAATAATAATAATAATTATGCAAAATTTATCATGAACAAATCGTGCATTTAAAATTTTTTTTTGGGACATTTAGTTCAATTAAGTCAGACTCACACACATATCACATACACGAGACTCAAATTCAAGCCCACTTAGTTGGTGGCCTAAGCTCCCAATGAACAGGCTAAGATGATCTGTATCGTGCATTTAATTTTGGATCAATTAGCAGCTATGAAAGAACACAACTAATTTTTATTGGTTAGTACGAATCTTTTGATTTTAAATAAGAAGTTTGGGGCTTGAAGTGTGTATATGTAATGTGGGTGAGTTTGACTTAAATTAAGTAGTCCAAAAATTAATAATTTTGAAACACTTTTTATGGACTTTTGAGAGAATCAAACTCAAATCCATACACACATCAAATATGTAAACTTAGAACTAAAAACCTGTGAATTGATAGTCTAAACTTTAGGACAATAGATTAAAATAATATGCATCAAATTTTAAAGACTAAAATCAAAATTATTCTTTCATAAAATGACAGTCATTTATTGAAAAATTTTGTTCTATCATATTATCATATAATGCTGAAAGTTTTGATAAATTTTTTTATTTGGGACTTTTGAGTGAATTATGACAAACCAACACACATATCACATACGTAAACTTCAAACCTAAAATATCTTGTTTGATATTCAAAACTCTCAACCAACAAATCGAGATGAGCTTAGTTTTAGAAAACTTAGGGCTCATTTGGGACGACTTTTTTTATTGCTTTTTAAAACAACTTTTTAGTTAAAAAATAGAAAATGACTTTAAAAAGCAAAAAAAAAAGTCATCACAAACGAAGCCTTATGCTTCATTTTAGAAGGCTTTTTTTGTTGCTTTCTAAAGTAACTCTCTAGTATAAAAAATCTTAGTTTACAAAATTTTGAGCTAGAAATTATTTTAGAAATCAACAAAAAAAGTCTTCGCAAATGAAGCCAGAAATGTTATTAATTTGCATTGAAAAAAAATATTTTAGTAATATGATTATGTTATATTTAGCTTTGGGCCACTTCAGGCTAAAAGAGTTTTGAGTTATAAATAATTGAATTTGTTTTATTATGAGTGCAATATATAAATAATTTATATTACATTCATTTAAAAAATTTAGAATTATTATCATAAAAATTTGGATGAAAATATCTTAACACAATCTTTTTCTCGCAGATATTGGTTTTGAGAATTGTTCTCTCATGCAAATGTTTTGCAATCACATAAAATTAAATTTTGGGACCCGAAACCCTAACAAGCATAGCTAAATTTAAATGGACAAGCAACTTTGAAAAACTGCTTGGTTTATATTTTTGTAATTGCCTCTGCAGTGTTATGCACGTGGGAGGGAAGAAGCGGCCATGTTCTCTTCTGTACAAATGTCCTTGTACGAGCTGTTGATGATCGTCTTCTCCAGTGCGGACTGCGGAGATGGTCCCCAAAGCCTCCATTAATGACTACCTCAAAGTTCAAGCCTGCACAAACCTTTGCCATCTTTTTCATACTGAATTCTTCCGTCTACTGAGCTAAATAAGCTAGAATGAAAGTCCTCATAGATACCGTTCAATCAGTCTGGTAGATCTGAACCTCACTTCACTCATTTTATTTTATTTTATTTTGCTTCTATTTTTGATGTTTTATTCATATACGGGCTCTACTCAAATTTCCAAAAAATATATAGCAACCTTTATTAATGTTGCGTCTGGGAATATTCACGACGGTAAAGATTGATATAATTTAGCGTCTTAGCTTTGTATGAAAATCCAGCACACAAACAGATAAGAGAGTAGGGTTATAACGTTCATAAGAGACATCGTAATTTTTACGTGGAAACCCCTGAAAAGGAGAAAAATCATGAGGTTTGCAATTGATTAGGAGGAAGGCCTTGGCTCGAGGAAGGCCTTGGCTCGATGTAGCAGATATACATCATATAGAGTGCATTATATGGTGGGAGTTGGACGAGTCATAGTTGATATATTTGTTTGGTTGGTAGGGTCATAGTTGACAAGCGATATAGGTTGAAAGGACCGTAGTTAGAGGAAGGTGGTCGGAAGGATTGTAGTCAAGTGAAGGAGGTCGAAAAGATCGTTCGAAATGATCATAGTCGATGGACGACGGAGATCGAAAGAACCTTAGTTTGAGGACAACGAAAGTCAAAAAGACCGTACGTAGTATGGAGATGGTGGTCAAAGAAACCGTAGTCGGCTGGTGACGATGGTTGGAAGGACAGTAATCTAGCTACAATGGTTGAAAGGACTGAAGTCGGCGTGCGACGGAGGTTGGAAGGACTGTAGTTGATGTTGGTGGTTGGAATGACCGTAGTCGACGAGCGACAGAGGTTGGGAGGACCGTAGGTGGCTCATGAAGGAGGTTAGAATGAATTTAGTCTATAGAGGGTGGTTGGAGAGATCATAGTCGGTGGGTGATGATTGTCAAAGGAAGGTTCTTTAGTGGTTTGCCTATGGTTGTCCGACGGCGATGGTCGACCAAAGTTTCAACAGCTGAAACTTGTCTATTGTTGCCCTACTTTTAAGTAAGTTTTGGACTCTTGAGTTGGTTTCATTTGGGCTCAGATTGGACTGATTTTGATGTTGTTGGGTTCGTCTCTTTGAGATGTTCAATTTGACTATAAATTTATTAAAATCAGAGCTTGGATGATCCCTATCTCAATTTTGAAACTTTTTTGTATGGATATGCCTTGAGATTCATGCCCGCTCAAGGCAAATTTTACTGATATATAAATTAATTAAATTAACTTATTAACCTATTAATAGTCATCCTAACCAATAAATTTCAGTTTTGATTTGATGGGTATTCCATTATGGATATATTAGGCTTACTTAATTATGTCATTAGTATCCAAAGCAAGATGTATTAAATGATTGATGTATATAATTATAATTAAGCTTCATTATGGACGACTTTCTTATTGTTTCTTAATATAATTTTTAATATTTTTTTTTTAATTTTTATACTAAAAAAATATTTTAAGAAACAGTAAGAAAGTCATCGCAAATGAAGCCTAAGTTATAGAGAGAATGATTTAATGATTTAACGGTATCTGCCAAGATAATTTGGTTTTTCCAAACTGGTCGGTTTTCTGAACCCGAACCCGACCCGCTTTGGGTCCGGGTCAACCCGAACCCGACTCGATTCGGGTATATTTTATTAATTTTTTATTTAATTCAATTTATTTAAATCTAAATTAAATTAAGGTAAGATTTACGTTAATTAATTTAAAATAAATCAAGATTAATTTTATTTGGGCAATAATGTTTATAATTTTTTGAAATTTCATTTACTTATTTCATAAAAATCAATTAAAATCCTCCTAAATCAATTAAAAACGGGTCAAACCGGGTTGATTTCGGGTTTCCGGGTCACCCGAACCCGAAATTTTCGGGTCAGGTTTTCGAGTCGTCTCAAATATTGACACCCCTAGCCCAGAGAACATAGTTGGACGTTAATAACTTGAAGATAATGACCGAATGACAATAGTTAATAGACTATGATTGTACGATACAAAAATAGGGCAACAATAGACGGGTAATGGAGGATGAGTGATGAAGATTTTTAGTAATGATCGTTAGTGTTGAATGCCAAATGGGGCTTTAGAGACTTTAATTCCTTCAAGATCTCTCCAATTTCAAGTTAATGTCTAAGCTCCTATGCATGTGAAGGATGGTGGTAGAATTATAGTTTTCTAAAGTGTCATCTTGCAAATTTTACCCAAAATTCAAATTACATGATCAAATGACCTATATTGACTCGTTGAATTATAGAATATTCTCTTAACATTTAAGTGCCTTAATGGCCTCAAAATTGAGTAATCTTCGGCTCATTGGACTCTTCTCGTAGAGTCTATTGTTTTGACTATAATCGTGCAACATTTAAAATATAACATAGTTTACAACTATTCTTAATTAGGTTTTCATATTTAGGGGCTATTTGGTTTGCTAAAAAAGAATGCTAGTATGCCAAATGCAATGGAAACTAATTTTTGGGGTGTTTGGTTTGCCAAAAAAGGGGGTATAGTATTTGCCAAACCCCACCACCCCCCAAAGAAAAAAAAAAATCCTACTGACCGCCACTGTTCTTATAAATCACTCACTATTGTCCAATCGCTCACTATTGTTGCCGACCATCGAATGCCGCTATCATTTGACTTAAATTACATTCATGTTGCTTTAAAAAGAAAAAAAAAATCTCATGAATCTTTTTTACATTCATCCAAACATCTTCAAATATTTTAAATATACTATATTTCATTTACATTGTATTCTTTTACTATATATTCCTTTCTCAACAAATCAGACAACCTCTTAGAGAAGAATGAAATGTTGGCATGGGAGATGAAAAGATTAAACATATGGTGGTGGTAGTAGTATATGATAAATATATTTGAGGATTTAAATGAGGCTTTGGTGGTGTAAGTGCTCGAATTTGGATCATTTAAACTAACATTGGAAAGCATTTTGGTGTTGTAAGACTTCTCTTATCATATATTTATTGCAGTTATGAATTCATTAAAATAGAAGTTCATATGATCTTTGATAC